TCTCTCTCTCTCTCTCTCTTTCTTTCTTTCTTTCTTTCTTTCTTTCTTTCTCATTCCTATTTTTTAACACTTTCTCAGAACTGTCACCCTAAATGACTCTCGAAATAAAGTATCAATGATCCCTAATAAGTCATGGTATTTCACGGGATTTGAACTCTATCATATTGGTCTATGAAAACCAATACCCATGGCAAGTTCTTAAATTAAGGAGTAAAAATCTAAATATTTATGTAAAGAGCTCGTATCATTCCTAGAAATGCATAATGAAAAGAGTTTTATCGATAACTTCGGATTTAGGGTTTAATTCCTCGAATCTTGAGCTTAAATATATTTATGGAACATTCTAGTTGAGTTGACTATCATTGCATATATACTTGAACTACTACAGATTGAGGACTGGCGCGCTCAAACGCATCTGTATGTCTGTATGTGTTATCGTCGACATAGAAGTTGGCGGTATTCAAGATTTTGTTGAACAGGCTGCGTGTGGAAAAGAACCCTTTTCATATTAAATTTCATGCTATTAAGAAACACTTTGGAAAAACTATGATTTGAAAGTGTAGATTTATTTTATTTTATTTTATCAGCAAGAGAAAAAGAAAGATGGGCCAAAACCTGATGATAAAATTCGTACTTACTTTCCTTTCTTGTCGCCATCTGTCGGGTTTAGCTTAAGTTTTTATCTTGCCTCAAGGGTTCCCATACATTTATTAAGACTTTTGTTTCTTTATTCTTAGTTCCTTCAARATGCACTATTGCGGAAATTGAAGCGAATGAGCGCAAAATTTTTCACAATAAACTTATTGGGAAATCTGTTTCATCTGGAAAATCGAAAAACGATGTCTTCAGGGACGTATTTACAAAGCTTTTTCTGTTAATGGATCCACGTATTTTTATCAGTGTTCATCAGATATTGTTGTATTGGTTTGTGATAATATTAAACAAAAATGACTCCATAAATTAGTTAAAAAACATAGTTTCCGGGAAAAAAAGTCGATTCCCGTCGAAGAAAAGAGATAGAATGAAATTTACTATCAAACGATTTCAAGTTATCGAAAAACGGTTGCTATGATAACTGTTGTCATAGCTACACGATCCAAAGATCTCTCCTGAAAAACACGCCATATTTCTTTTGAACGAATGCTACAAACTTGATTGATATGATAAAACTTCTAAGGCTATTCCGGAGCCTTGAGCTAGGGAAAAAAGGTGAATCTTATCATGCATGCTGACCCGAAGAAAATCGCCTAGATTTGAAGACAGCATCTGAGGTCGCATTTCAAAGCAGAATAGAAGGTTATTATCGGAGGTGTTGTGAGAAGATTTATCTAATTATGACTATTTCATAAGTAAATGGCAAAGTAGGTTCTCTTAGAGCGCATGAGTACTCGCATGGAGTGCCAGTTTCTATTGAATTTTTGCACTAGTAAATTCGGCCCCGGAAGCTTCGGCACTTGCCCACATTCACGAAGTTATATCTCATTTTCACGACTTGTCCTGTAAACATCAGTGTGCTAAAATCTGTTTCAGTTTTCATTCTACGTTTGACTCTGTCATGTGTTTACTTAACTTTTGATTTTATGCACTTCCGTATCATTGGAATTATATAATATTACAATATTAGACCACAGCTAGTTGCTGTTTATTTTGTTAGACCGATTTGTTCAAGCTTCAAAGAACTGAATGGCAGCTTCTCTGCGTGACTTCAGGATCCATTTTATTATTTTCCTTTATCAGTTATTCTTTTTCTTGTAAACAACTTACCCAACATCGGCAAATTGAACAAAAGTGTTGTTTTGTTGGAATAAAATTGTCTTTTTCGCGGTTCACGTTTGAAGTCTTAAGTTAATTTTCTTTGCATCTAGCTTTAAATTTTTGTTTTTACTTCGACATATCAATAAGCAAGGGTTTTCGAAATTGAGGTATAATATGTGATTAATGAGATTTTTAGAATTCTCCAATCCTTAAAAGTCAATTTGTAAGTGAAACAATGATTTTGGTTGCTTTGAAATCGCATCCAAATAATTATTGGCAGGCTTCGAGAAGGTACCACGCTTGTCGTGACTCACTGTAGTAAACATCATTTCAAGATGAACTGAATCTACTGTAAGCATGTTTGGTTTTTATTGGTCAGGTTTGTAAGGCCTCGATAATAAGACACAGAAGTCAGGATAGAACCTTGAAGTGCTTGCTAAGTGGATTTTTCTTCCCATCGCACACAAAATCAATAGATCTATATTCAAAGTATTTTGGCCACTAAAAGTCCCCTCTTCAGAATCGATCAAAAACAGTGACTTAACCTCCCCAGCGAAGCTAAAGGAGAATCAATTATTGATGGCTACTCTGAGCATCGTTAAAAGGTTTGAATTGTTTTTCCTCTCTAGCGTAAAATAATCCCCTTAGTTGACAAAAAGATTTCAACATGAAAAATGAAAAAAATCCATCAAACGACATCCATCCATCAAGGCTTGCGCAACTTACCGCTTGCCTTCGTCAAAACATTGAATTCAATTTTGGAAGGGAAAAAAAAAACACAAAAATTGCCGGAAACAGTTAATCTTTTAATTGTTGAAATCGATTTAAAAAGAGAAACGGTATAACAAAAGAATGAGATCCACAAAATTGACAGTTCCTGCCGAGGAGGCTCTTCAATATGTCGACTCGCCACCACTTTGATTAGTTAAATGGTCACGTGACAGGTGATTAACGCTTAAGCGGCATTTGCTTACAAACCAGTACAGTTCAATTCTAGAACATTTTCCTGTTAGGATTCCCTGGAGTTGTCGATCTGTGAGCGGTCCTCCTCGACGATCCCCCATGCACGTCATTATCCCATCGATAGTCAGGTATTTAAGACAAGTCGGCGAGTTCGTATAGTAAACAGCTTTTGGCATAGATGTGGGCGCACCACCAACATTTTCTCGAAAAATCGAGTTGAAATCATTAACTGTATACAAGATCAGACAGCAGAGGGTATTTAAGTGATATATAGTAAGCCGTCAAGGGAATAGGCACATTGCTGACCACGTAGTACTTATCGAGCTCGCTCTCTCTCTCTCTCTCTCTCTCTCTCTCTCTCTCTCTCTCTCTACCGCTCTACGTCCATCGTTATGGAAGTAAATCCCAAGAGAACCTAACACGGGTAAGAACAAATCAAGAACTTTTAACGCTAAGTATCGTCTGCCTCATTTCCACAGCACACGGATCTATCAGAAAAAGACAATTTGAAGATAGTAAAAACCTGACTTGAATATCTACACTCAACGCTTTCAAACTAGAACTGAAGAAAGTGACGTTTAACGATAAAACTATCTCTCAGCAAGAAATGAATGACACTAACGGTACGACACTAGTAGCGAACACCATCGAACATGAAGTCATTAAGGTGGTTTTCATTCTGGCTCTGTTATTTGGACTTGCTGGACATGGCTTGGTGTTACTAGTGGTGATCGGTAAAGGAACTCGACGAACAGCCAGCGATATGTTCATACTGAATCTCTCAGTATCAGACCTTGCATTTCTCATTCTCTCCCTAGCTATCAATAAAAGTATGTATGGTGGAACGTTCGAGTATTCCTTGTTCTACTGCAAGTTTGTGTGGCCAATGGTCACCGTCACTTTCTTTGCTAGTGTTTTTACGCTTACTTCCATGGCCCTTCACCGATGCTATGGCGTTCTGCTGCCGCTCAAAGAGAACCTAACAGCAAAACAAGCCATGCTGTGGGCAGGTTGTATATGGGTGATGTCGTTAGCAACAACTCTGCCATTGATCGTTATCACAGATCTAAATGAGAAAAAGTTTTGCAACGAGACATGGAGTGAATCAAGCTCGAAGACTTACACCGTCTTGTTGCTTCTTCTCCAGTACCTCATTCCTCTTTTCATCATCGCACTTGCCTACATACAGATCGTTCGTTGCTTAAGGCACAGGAAAATACCTGGTACCTTGCTAGACAAATACGGGCAAGTTGTTTCACAATCTGCACGCAGAGAAAACATTCAAATCATTAAAACTGTCGCTGTTATCGTCATTCTCTTCGCGGTCTGTATGTTTCCCCACCAATTGGCAGCCGTGCTGTTCTACTTTGGCAATGATGCACAAAAACAACAAGGTTTGTCTCTCATGAATTATTCGACGATTTTCCAATACATCCATAGCTGCCTTAATCCCATAGTTTATGGCATCATCACCCACCAATTTCGCAAGGAGTACAAAAAATACCTTCTGATGTTGGTTTGCTGCTGCAGATATAAAAGATTTACGAATTACAGGGCCGGCAGTTACACCAAATCAAGATCGACCTTAAAGTCCACCTTTAAGAAGCATGACACCGAGCAGAATATGCAAAACGCCAGTTCTTTTAGCCTCATTAAAAACAAGCCTAGAAAGTCCGATGAAACTGAGGGTTCGCAAGTCATCGAGGATACCAAGATTTAAGTGGGTATTACACTTCACCCTATAAACCTTTCTCCAAGAGGGTGCATACTACTGAAGACGAGTACGAATATATATTTAAATGTAGATGACCCATGAGGAATTATTGAGGTAACATAATTTAGCAGCATTAGTGCTGCAGATACCCTACCCCATATAGAGGGTGGAACTAAATACAACACGACCAAGCGGTGTTCTATGTGTGATATGTACAAACACCATAAAGAAATACAGACAAAAACCGAGCTATTTGTGTGCTGTATATACTGAGAGAGTGGCATGCCCCATACCAGGGAGTGGAACTTATTAATAATATATTATAACTGAATACGCTAGCTGTGCGCTGTATGTTCCAGAGATGTCCCGTTGGCATCAACAAGACAACGACATGTACTAGCTGAGTAGCTAGTAAAGATACCGGAGACATGCCCTGTAGGGATAATACATCAGCAGACAGCAAGATCTAGCCGAGTGCCGTAAGCACCGGAGACACACTATGACAATGTGAGAGCGATTTGGCGACAACATAATTTAAGTTATTTTAGTCCGACTGGATGTTTACAAAATAATCCAATTTTCTTCTTATTCGTTCAAGGAAATAATTATCTCTGGCCCTAAAGTAGGCCATCAAATATCACTATCTACAGCGCAAAGCTACTGAGGTACGACATTCAAGTTTCCTTTTTTTCAGTAGGCACACCATTTTTTTTTCAGTCATAATTCGCCCTTTAAACATCAAATATATTACATCAGCACTCAAAACCATGTTTCATGGCCTCAAAATGTCATACTTTTATATGTCATTAATTTAAAACTCGTAAATACTTAGTTCTCTCTTGAAGTTCAGTTAGTGTGTCGATATAAATCATATGCTGTTCTTTCGGCTGTTTACTATGATTTATGTAATCAGCTCATCTGGGAAAAAGAACTCTCTACTGTATTTGCCCACATTTAGGGCAAACCTCAGATAACAGTGAAGAGGTATGCTTTTGATTTAGATGTCACCCGACACTCTCCTAGATGCAGGTGGACTTAAATACACACACGTACTCAAGAGTCTTCACTTGTCATATAAAAACAAATAGAAAAATGCACTACTTAGGACGAAAATAGCCGGGGGAAAAATCACATTTTCTTAAGAAACAAGTCTGAGCCTATAGGCTTTTTTTATTGTCATTAGTGAAGAGCGGTGTCGCCATCAATCGAAAAAAGAAATGGTTTAATGCTTTCAAAGGGTAAATCCTCAAAACACGTACTGAGGCTGAGTAAGTCCGGTCCAAAAGACTGGTAAATGGGTCAGGAAGATTGTAAATAGAAAAATCAGATCTCTATTTATCCTTGCTTTGTTTTGTTTGACAAAGAGGAGACAAATGCTAATGAATGAAAAGCATACCTCCCACACTTAACCATAATTAAGAAGAAAAACAGCAACGCTGAGATATATATATTCATATTTAAAGATATTGAAATAATTAGTATATAAGAAATGTAGAAATCAATGAAATTCAGTACCTGAACAAGTTTATTTCAATGTTCTGTATATAGCTACAGCGTGTCTCGTATCTAAGCCAAACCTGATTTAGCCCAGATATAGACCTTGAAAAAGTCAATGTAGTTTATTTCAATGCTAGCTTAACATATAGCTATTGTGTGTCTTGCATTGTATCTTACCATACCGATTAGCCAAAAAATAGACTTTCTTGATATATTGGGTTAAAATGTACTGTAAAATGATGTACATAATGAAAGTGTAATCAGATATGTACGTGCTAAGCTTGCTAAGAATCCAAGCAAATCCCGAGACCGTCACTTAAGAGGGGTTATTGACTGTCAAGTAGGATTTGACTCTGACAATGATAAACCATGAAATTAGGCTTTATTGTATACAGAGATGCACAAAATAATCAAATATATAAACACTGAAGGCAACTATTTACATATGTATAATAATATTAGTAGTCACAATCCTGTAGATGGTACAACTGGGCAGGTGCAATGTAATCATTTACATCAAAAAATTAAGAAGTAAAAACAGTCCTTGTAAAGACCTTATGTCATTGGTTTGCAAGATACTGCGAATCAGCTATTAAGATATTAAGACAATATAACATGGACAAGATATTTGATTGTTAATAAATATTAATAGTGTTGTAGTTCCTGTATAATATTCACAGAAGAGAAAAAAAACAGTCCCTTAATCCGTCTTTATTAAATAGTCTATTATAAAGATAATATTTACAGTTGGTGATTCTGTGTGTGAATTAAAATCTACTATTGACAAAAGCTAAAACAGTCGTTGTTAATCTTTCTTTATTAAAGAAAACTGGATATGTGAGCCAGGGCGTCTTGTACTGTTAACCACCACACTTCAAAACCTTACAAAAAATGAAGTGAATTGCCTAGAACTGTGCCCTATAAATGAACGCGTGTGTACTTGTGGCTTGGGCCACGAAAACTGTATGGCACTTGCTCGTCAAARACTCTCACTAATTGAGGAATTGTTGTTTCTAAGTTTATTATTTTCCTTTTTTGGAGTCATTAGATATAATAAAATTAAGTTTTAAATGGTTTAAGACCACCCGTTTTTTTTATTGAATGAAGGGGACTTTTTACCATCAGCTTTCGTTTTACCTTTTGGCATACTTTATTTACTACTTCAGTTGGCATTTGGATACAGAAAATCCAAGGATCTTAGTAACTGAATTTATCAGTCTCCAAATATTACAATCTAAATCTGAATTTGGCCTTTCCGTCTTTGAGATGAAATTCATCAGATACAATACAATATGATAGAAATCTTTTCTTTGTAATCTTTCCCCCTTTACAATTTTTTGCTCTCTTTTCTTTATTTCCGTCCTCAGTAATCTTTTGCAAATGATTCTTTTTATTCGATTTCTCCTTTCCATTTATTCATTTTCCATATCTGCTTGACCTTAAAATTAGATCATCGTATAAACCAAAAGCAATAAAGTTTACATCCAAAACTGATGTTAATCGCCCTCTGGGCTATTGTCTTTCACTCATGTTCCCCCTCTCTTTAACATAACATCCCTTTTTTAATCAAATTAATGGATCAACAGGAACCAAACAAACTCGGCACCTTACCAAGCCACACAACTGCAGTCATACAATAATAACAAGATAATATAAACATCTTGGATAATAAGAGTCCTAAGGATTCTAATCCTACGACAATCGTAGAATATTTTAAAAAATAGAGCTAAAAGAAAAAAGATAAATAGATAGCTAGTGTTTTTTTTTAACTTCAAACGAAAAATGTCCGCGATATTTATCATCTGTGAAAAGAGTCGTGATTGTCCTGAGGATTTGTGATTTCTTCCCAGTCGTGCTGAGTGTCACACACCGCAACGGAAGATATGCAAAAGCTTTAAATAAAACCTAATGAACTTGTCGTCATCTGTATTGAGTACTACTAAAACATATTTGGTGGACCTGACCACTCTTAACCTGCCCACCACTTTTATATATATTGTCTTATACGAATTCTAGATCTAAAAAACCAATGGAAAACATTTATACTTTTGAATGTTCTTTTTTATTCATAGCTGTGTGATCATACTCTGTGCCCATGAAGAAGTCATAAATCTTACCGCCCACTTCTATCAGCCTTAACTTAAACTAAATTAATCGTGGAACTTCATGACGTCACTGGAGTATGTCCAAATTCACGCAATTCTATTTTAATCTTTAGATACGACGGCTTATAAGCTGAAATCGCTGCATTAACACTCTTAACATGTCTTATGGTCTCTTATTGGTAATGTAAGTGCTTGGGACTTATCTATCTAAAATCCATGCGATAAAACATCCTTGCAGATTGTATTTTCCGCCACTATTCCTGTTTCCAGTCAATAAGGCTGTATTTAGGCCCGTAGCGCTATTCATGACATCATTAATTTCTACTTATCTACACTAAAAAGATACGGAAGTAAAGAATTATGTTATATATAGCGCATCTAAGGATACTATTTCTTTCTGACTGACGAAGAGAAGCGCACGTCGAAGGATAGTTTAGATATTGATTGTAGAAAAACGATTCACCGACATGACATTAATGTAACAATAGACTTGTCATGAAGTCTACAATGATTGATCTGCGCGTAAAGTCCACCGACAAATTTTAATTTCATTTTTGAGTGTGCTATATTTATTGCACTTTTTCTCTTTAAGTATGAGACTAGCATTGAGGCTGTGATTTAATGCACGACACAGGAACAGGTTTTTGTCTTAATAATATTGGTATATAATTAAAGCTGACCAACGCCCATCCTTAGTACAATGGGTAATGGTGCCGTAATGGTATTCAACATTTGGTCAATGCGGTTTCAAGTAAACTAAACTCCCCAAACCAGTAGCACATTCCCAATGTACGTAAGATAAAATACTAGATTCTTACTCTCCTGGATAAATAAAATCCATTGTTTTGTCTTCCAAATTGAACTTCCATGTGGAAAAGGAGTCTAAAAACTGAAGTCTTTTGTCTGACAAGAGTGTCATTTGTAAGAATGGTGCTTATTCGCAATCCTGCTTGGATTGTCAGGATTAAACCCAACTTAAAACCACTTGATCTTTATTTCGGGTGCTATTGACCTGTTTTCAAGAAACATCATTCTGGCAGCGTCTGTGATATAAATTTACGCGGGCTTTCTCAACTTACGTCTCCTCCGTCCAGTATAAGGTCTTGAATATTGAACACGTTATTTTCATGGGCATGATGTTATACATATCTCAAAAAGGGCAAACAATATTTTCAAAAACACACATCTTCATATGTGTCTTTGCAATGCCGACCTCAATACGATACTTGCAACTACGGTATGTACTATCGGAACCGGGTAATTTTTAAAAGTACCTATAGGTATACATTTGTCAATGTTAGACTATTCTTGATTAAATCTTAGAGCCGTGTCCAACCGTCTACAAGTGGCCGTGTGCGGCGGAAACCAGTTGACGCCATTCTTCTTTAAACAGGATGCTTTAGAGGAGAAACTGTTAAAACAGAGACAATTGAAATAAGTGGCGCTCTTCGTATCAAGGGAAACGACTTCTCAATCCTTTGATAATCAAAGTTTTTATTTTTGAAAATCATTCAGCCTCGGGATTTTGTCATGTTGTGTACATTCAGAACAGATTATTAGATAATGAAGAAAACGATCAAAACGAATAACTTCCTGCAGGACACGAGATAAGAGATTCAATTGCTATTATGAAACACTWTCTATTTTGTTTTTCTTTCTCAATGATATTTACATCATTAACTTCCAGATTGAGCATAAGCGAGTCGGATTAAAAAAGTTGCCGAGCAATGGTCTGGGTACGAGATGCGCGGGCAAAGAACTTACGTTTCTATTACGTCATAAATAGTTACGTTATAGCAGTTAACTCATGTTTACTGACAAAAACGTCTTAGCCAAGAAAATATGGAAAGATTTTGGGTTTGTCTAGTTTTTTTATTTATATTAACAGAAGGTAAGCTATACGTAGCCAATAGCCATTTTGCAACAAGCAGTCACGTGCTGATATATGACTTTAATAACGAATCAATTCAGCTCCAAGGTCCCTTGGGAAACGCTCCGCTGGATTGCATAAACAAACTTTAAACTGCTTCGTTTCTTGAAATCGAAAGCATCTTATAAGGGGAAAAGGGTATTTTTGAAAAGGTTTTTTGAAACCTTTAAATAAAGGAAGTCCGAATGTTTTTACCATCCAGTAACAATCATGTGTTAATCTATTGCAAAAAACCTATTTCTCTACCAGATAGAATTAGACTATGATTTGCTCGCACTTAATTAATGTACATGTGTTGATTGGCTGTGCAATACTTTTTGCACTAAACACAGGTACAGTGTCGTGTAAGTCGTCGTTAAGCTAACCATGGGGGCGCCATTCCTCGCGCGGTACCAACGTTTACTTTCTTTGAAAATAAAAGCCTTATAGTTCAATACGCCAGTGTTAGCTCATCCTGACGATACGGGGAGGGGGAAATTAAATTATTCCAGTTGGCTGATTGGCTTCCACATGGAAAAAGTCCATTACTTTTCTTTTTCTCTTAGTATCAAGTCTTCAGTGCCATAAATGCCCACCTCACGAACATCTCAGTGCCAAGGCCTGCCTCGCGGGACCACCCGAGGAATGTCCATCACACGATACTGGATGCTTCTTCGAGTATGATAAGATGGACATACGTTTAGGATGCGGACGGGATTGGGCCCAACCCTCGGGATGTTACGGGACTGTTTGTATCACATGGTGTTATGGCGACCTTTGTAATAAGGACTTGTTAAGACAAGCTCCGTTTGAAACTGATCTGGACGATCTACCGAAAACAGACAGCCCTGGCATTCTGCCTTATGATTGGCTTGACACACTATTTGGTGCTGCTTCGAGTACGAAATGTTCAAATAGGGTGACAATTCTGTTTATTATTGTCTCTGTAATAGCAACTATGTTCTTGTGCTAACTATCCTAACGGCTCTGTATTCTGACAAAATAGAATAGAATAGAATATCCTGATAACTGTTGACAACAATTTTCACAAGTCTTTACTGATCATGTATCAGCCATGTTACAGTCGATGAACATGCAGTACTGATAAAGCTGCCTGTAGCTGAACAGACTTGAAATAGCGCTGCCGAGGAAGAAAGCAAGCATGGGTTTATTGCACTGAAAAAGTCTTTTCTTTCGAGAAAAACTAGCTTGACAGAACAAAAGATAATTTACATGATCCCTAAGTGTATAATTGACCTGGAGTAGGCCTTGCACTGTTCATTGTTATCTACATCAGTTCTTTAAGAATACTAATTCTGAGCCGCGTTGGAGCGTATAAAGCATGTATGTACTATTAAATCTATACAAGTTAAAAGCTTTAAGTATATTTTCCTCGTAACAAGATCAATTGCTGCACAAATAGATTTTGAGTATATACCGATAAGCAAAGTGTCTAAATACGTCTTATACGTAATGCACTATTTATAGCGAAAGCGTTACATTTACGATTACAAATAGTCTACCCTTAAATATTTGATCCAATTGATCGGTTCATGGCATTTGCGTTTCTCATTATCTCAGCTCGCTGCATGAAGACTCGATCTTTTTAACTTATTTACAAATGTCTTCCAAAATAATAGGCCTGAAAAACAATGAAAGCTAGTGGGAACAAAACACGAGATATCTTGTCAACAACAAGAGACTGATCTTTCTCTGTGGCTTCTTCAGCGTCCATCTTGTTCTCATTATGATCAGCGCTCTTAGACGATGCTTCTTGCTCTAGATTGTTTCTGGGACTTTCCGTCATAATTTCTTGGCTTGGTGATATTTCTTGGCCATAGCAGTGGATGTCCTGCAACTCAAACTATGAAGAAACATAAGGCAAGCACAGCACTGAGAAAATGGACCTTTACCTTTTACCTTTACCTTAATGTTTTCCCATTTCAGACAAAGTATCATTCTCTTGAGAATAAGATTCTTTTTTTGAATTGTATCCATATTCATGTCTTCTCATGTGTAACCGTTGAATAAATAAATGATACTCTAGGGAATGACACGAGGTCTGAAGTGAGACAACATCGCGTCCAAGTTAAAGAGGTCATTCTAGGTTATTGCGCATCGAAAAATGCAAAGCTAAATAACCAAGGTTCCCTATTATTCTTAGCTTGGTTAATGGCTCAGCATCATTAAGGCATGGCTCTCAGATGAAAAACTGATTAGCTATATCATAGCCAGTTTTCTACGAATCTTCCCCAAACTTGGCAAGTTAAGGTCTTTTGTGAAAAGAAGGAACCTTAGAGCCTTGGTTACCATGGAAACTAAGTCACGTGACCACAAGRCCGCCATCTTGGATTTTTGAACAAGCCGTTTGTAAACGTACCGAAACATCTTTAAAAGTCATGAAAACGCAGATTACTATTCATATTTACAATGCCTATATGGATCTAATTTGATATCTTGGAAATTATTTTAAGTTTAATTTTTAGAATATTTTCTATTTTTTCCAAAAAATTAAAAATATTATAAAAATTAAACTTAATATAATTTCCAAGATATCCAATTAGATCCATATAGGTATGGCAAATATAAAAAGGAATATGGATTTTCAGGACTTTTGAAGTAGTTTCAATACATTTACAAACGATTTGTTTAAAAAATCCAAGATGGCGGCCTTGTGGTCAGGTGACCTGGTTTCCATGGTAACATATATGCGGTAATTGCTTGCCTTGAAGAATTACTACTACGAGCCAAATTTGGGAAAGATTCATAGTAAACTGTCAAAGATATGAATAAATAATTGATTTTCCATCACTTCCTCAAAAGAGCCATGCCTTAATGGTGCTGAGGGGGAACGAAAAATGAAGCAAAAGTCATAAGCTATGTCAGGATTTCCCATTTATTTATTTTAATGTTTATCCAACCAAACTTTGAACTCGTTCTTTATTTTACCTCCAATTTGGTGGCTTTGGTTTTCTTTTTTACTTTTTTCAATTTTCTCACATCTGAGCGGAAGTTGTAGACCACTACATTCTCCAACAACCCCATGAAGATGAAGATGAAGGTGGCCAAAAGATATTSATCAGCTGCCTTGATGTAACTGACACGAGGCATGTTACTATTGATGTACTGGGACAAGAACACTTCTGTTAACAAGGTAGTGATGCTTAGAGCCATGCGGTCACCGATCTCGTAACGATCCATCCAGAATGGCAACCATGATACGACTGCACACAGAATGCAGGGGAAGAAAAACTGCATAATGAAGTAACCAAGACGACGGTGAACGGTAATGGAGAATGAAAGGAAACTCCAATCCACTGGACAGAATTCCGAAAGGAAACAAGTTTAATAATTTCTTTTTAAAGTGACGTCATGGCCGCCATGTTGGATAATAAAGTTATCATCCAACATGGCCGCCATGTCTTTTCGTTTGTTTCTCAAAAAAAACAAACAACAAAACAACAACAACAACAACAAAAAATAAATAAATAAAATAGAAGGCCTTTACTTAAGGGAGCCATTTCTCTTCCCACAACTCAGCACTTAGGTAGTTTTCTATAGCTTTAGCCAAAATGGCTGCTTCATAAGAAAAGTTTATTAACGAGACATTTATCCTTCTAATTATAGTCATGGGCGGATCCAGGATTTTTTCAAAGGGGGGGTTGTAGTATTGATTGAGGTGGTGGAGAGATATAGCAGACCAAAGGGTTAGGGAGACATGGTTTCAAGCCAGTTAAATGTCATAATCGTTACTGAGGTCAAAAAATGTGTAATAGCCATTTGTAGTAATAAAATGTAAGTATGTGATATATATATAGTAATAATCTAAATACACTTATTTCAATAAAGTTAGTCACCAAAAACCTAGAAAGCTGAGATCACTGAGCATCATGGGAAACTTTTCATACCAAAAAAGCGTATATATACAAAGCTTTTTTGATACAAACTGCAGCTCGATGTTGCTCAGAAGAGGTGAGACTGTAACCGGTAAGAGATTCACAAGTCCATGAACAGTTATCAAGCGGTTGAACGTTTAAAACAAATCTACCCATAATCCTTGTCGGTCTCAGCTTTATAGCTTTTCAGGTGACTAACTTTATTGGAATAAGTGCATCATCAAGGAGTGAGACGTTAAAAAGTCTTCTAGCTAGGATGAACTTTGATGAACGACTTGCATACTTCATCTGTGGGGCATCTGACATCGTAATGCATTGCCATTAAAGCTGGGTCAGACAGACCATGGTTGTTCCGACATGACTGATCTGGAATAGGTCTTTATCCTTCTCATTAGGGAGAAGGATCGCCCTGCCTCAGCATTTGATATCGGTAAAGTGCAGGCAATTACAAGGAGGCTGTGGATGTTTAGGAAGGAATCTTCATTACACACAGCAAGCTTCTCGAGGAGGTTGTCTGGAAGAGTATCTCTCTGAGTAGTACCTTGCCATAACACCTGCCATCTTTGAAGTACACTCTTGAGGGACTTTGCAAATGGCATATCTGCCTCCCATTTCATCCTACCTGCATCCTACCTCCTCTGTGAGGTTCGGGTTCTTGCTGACAATTACAGATGGTATCAGTGACAGAAGATTTTGTGCATGACGTCCTTCGTCAGTAGTGGAAACCGCTCTTTCATCTGACTTACAAGAGAATCGAGAAGTGGAATTGCAATGGCTCTTTTATAATAGACTTCAGGACTTTCGCTTGGTGTGTTATTTCGGAACCTTCGAGGTGCTGTTTTCTTTGGGACAGACTCAGTGACTCCTACATTTGCTGCCAAATCTTTTATGTCACTATACCACGCTGCCAATCTATCATCTACAGCATTTCTGGTATCCTGGAGACTTCTGATAACATCGTCAACCATTTTGTAAGCCTCGTATACGTCTTGATCTCTTTTCTGAAGTTTGGAGGCAACGGCTTTGACATAATCCAATACGTTCTTTGTTGTAATAAAAGTACCAACAGTCATAAATAAAGACAGGGACGATTTGAGTCCATGAGCTTTAACAGTTGTATCTCTATCCCAGTCCCATTCTCCAGTAGATGAACATAGATCTGGGTACTCATTTGGAGAAACAATAGCATCTAGAAATAACACAACAATCTCATATAGTTCCAGAAACGTGTCAAAGCATGTATGTCTCTCAACCCATCGTGTTTTGCAGAGCTCTGGAAGCTTCTTTCGTGCACAGTCGGGAAGATACTTTGAAAGGACAAGCTCAAATAGCTTCTGTCTCTTTGGGGTATTTTTAAGGAATAGGTAGACTTCATTTATGACGCCTATAAGGTTTCGTACTTCTTAAACTTGATGCTGCGATGGAGAGGTTAAGGCAGTGACAATGGCAATGTGTATATAATGTTTTAATAATACCCCCAAAACCCAACCCTAGATCCGCCACTGTATAGGTTACATCACATAGTAATAGACAAAACTGACTGCTCCAGTGATTTGCCGTCATGACTAACTGATTGGAATTTKGTCAATGTTTTGCGGGGAATACACGCTGCGATTTGTCGATTCGAAATAATCGGGAAGCAAATCGTGCGTGTAACTTAGAACCTGACGGGACGCGAGAGCTAGACAGGCCTTATGTAACCCACTCATGACTATCACCATTACCTTTGCCGTAGGCATGGATTTCACTGGTATTATTTTCACTCTTCACCACATATCCTGCCATTTCGTTGTAAACCATCGAGCCTTTCTCCCACTTCAGAGTCAGCTGCTCAGCCATATATCTATCTGTAAAAGAAATCCCATTCAAGTCACATTATTTAAGTAATATGATGACACCCACTACTTTGTTGGGTTACTTACAGCGATAGATACCCACATCTAGTATCTGCATGATTATCCATTGGGTTACTTACAGCTATAGATATCTATATTTAGTATCTGGTTATCCATTGGGTTACTTACAGCTATAGATATCTATATTTAGTATCTGGCTATCCATTGGGTTACTTACAGCTACTGATATCTATTTTTAGTATCTGGTTATCCATTGGGTAGTTTAAGAAATTCATCTTCGCCAAAGCAGTGACTGACATCCTACATGAAATAAATACTCTTGGTAACAAACCTTTGGATRTAAATCAACAACAAGTATTCAAATACCTGTACGAATAGCTTATCTTTCCGTTTGCGTAGACCTTAGCTGAATAGGTATTGGTTTCGATAGAGACTTTTCTAGCGTTAAGGATGTAGGTATCAGGTAGCCATAGCTTGTTTAGGTGTTCACCACGGAGGATGAGAAAAGAATCATTGTTGTCTTTGTCAAAGGCAACGCGAGGATCCTCCCAGATGTGAGTGAAGTACA